AAACCTTGGTAGAAAAATAAGTCCAGTATTATAGAATGAAACCTGAGGCGGTTGCCTTTGACAGGGCAAAACGTTTCATCGACATCGTTGTGTTTGTTGGGGAGAAAACATACAAACATACAGCGCAACACTTCACAGTCGCACTGCTAACGATCGAAGATTTATGTGAATTCGACAAGCGAACGCATTCTGTACTGTACAGGAGACGCAGCACAACATTGATTGACAATGGTCTACAGCCAATCAGGACACAGAAGACAATGCGGTGTAAAAAAACAAACAAAACAACAACAACATGCAAAATTGCACAGAAAAAAAAAAAATCTGCGAAACAGCGAGGCCGTGAAACCGCGTCACAGCGAGGGACCACTCTAATGTGTTTTGTCTGTAACGTTATGCTAAAAATATTATTACTTCTGATGAAATCAGCAGTTCGGTTAAAGAAATAAAACAAGACTCACATTATTTCGGTTGCCAGGTCCAGTGTTGATCATGGTGTATAAATTGTCACCAGAGTTGTTTGAGTCTGACGGGAAAAAAGTGTAAACGTACATTCGTGGATAGCACAAGAAAAGGCTCAAGTTTAGCAGCTTAAGTCAGAGAAGCACTAACCTGCGGGGCTGGGCATGATGGGAGTGCCAGGAGGCCCTCCACCTCCAGATGCCCCCTTTGGAGAATGAAACAAAATAAAAAATGCATTAAATGTTATCCTTCTACGCTGTAATTTCTGTAGTGTGTGAGGGTTAAGACATCAGGATGTGTTCTCACCCCGTATGCACCAGGAGAGGGTGATGAGTAAGGCATCTGAAACCAAAGACATAAACATTACAGACCAGAAATGGGAGCACAAACCCTTTCCGTACCCCAAACTGTCATCATTCATCATTTGATCGTCCTAATACCATTATGGCTGTCTGTCCAACTGTCTGTGGAAACCATGATACATAATACTACAATTACATCCCACCCCACGGTAGAACCTTGCAGACCTCTGCAGCTCAGAGAGGAGATCTGGTTGCAAAGAATGAGCATTTCTCTGGGCTTATGTGTGAATTTGTGTGCCTGCATTTCTACTCACAGAGTTGGCATTGTTGGGATTGGGCCATGGCCGACCCGTTCCTGGGCCCCTACATAAGAACGCAAATGGAAATCTTGGTAAGATGTTGCACTTGATTTAAAATACATTTCAGACGATAAACAGGAGGCTCACATGTTCACTCCTGGCATGCCAGGGCCCATGGTGTTGTGTGGAGGCCTCATCCCACCACCAAAGTTCTGAGAAAACAAACAAAAATCAGCTTCGAATCTGAAACCACAGGGTCAAAATAAAAAGTCTTGCAAACCTATAACGGACACATCTGTTAACACTGTCAAAATGCTTTTGGTTTGGATTTGGTTGGCAAAACAAATACCTTCCTATCATAAGAACTAATAGGGTAAAAACCACTGATTCATCAAGGCAG